CAACTTTAGAGAATAGGCGGGAGTTTCACAATATATATTTAACAGTATAATTTATGTACATTTCTAAATATGAATTAAATTTAAACAAACATCGATATTAAAATAAATAAAAATCCGTAATCTCAATAATATTTTACGAAATTAACACTGCTTAGGAGATTTATGTTAGTCCTGAGTACAAATTCTAAGCGAACAATGGAAAACAATCTTTATAATAAAAGTACAATAATGAACGAGAAATGAAAATAAATATGCATTCAATACACTAGTATAACCAATATTATTAATGAAAGCATCAATAATTTTACCTTACTTAGGAAACCCACAAACAACAGATCTTGTCTTGAACCATTGTTGCTGGAGTTTATTTCTTTGGAAACTTGCTGCCTCTAACAGAGCACTTTACCAAAGAAAACTCCTACTATATAACGTCAGCAGCAATCCTAATTGTGACAATAAATGCCATATGTTTTAGTTTAACCTTTGTAGGGATGATAGCACCAACTTTCCCACGACACAAATAACAAGTAATATTTCTGAAGATACAAAACAACAAATAAAGAACAAAACAATACCTGACATGATAGTTATAAGGTAACAATGTTAAATGTAATAAGAAAACTACTAACTAAACTTAATACGTAGTTTGTCTACAAACTTTCTCCACGAAATTATACTTAACCCTCAGCAAAAATTTAATATATTTTAACAAAATTGGTGACCAAGATATTCAGTCAATTCAAGAAAGATTTCGGCAACTCCAGGATCGCAGCTCAGTTTTCTATACTGCTATGTTGTCTTGTCGAAAATGTGCTCAATGGACCAGCTGCAACTCTGCGTGGATCTCCAAATTCGCTTTTCATATGGCGAAGCGACCGATGTTAGAACAAAAGAACGGTATGTCGAATTTCAGGTAATCGTATGTTAAACGTACCGAGCATTTACTTGGATAGTGGTTAGCCTGCTGGGCTGCGAATCGTAGATTTGAGCCGTGATGACGCTCTGTGATTTCATCTGTGAGAGATTACAAAAATGGTAGTCCATCCCTTTATTCTATTTATTGACTCAGACGAAGCCCTTGTGTTGGCGGGAGCTGTTTGGTAACTTTTTGCTTCTGGTCAGTAAATGTTGGCTGTGCAATAACCTTAGTGATCTCTAACCAGGCCACTGAATCCACATATCTCATACAATGCTATGAAAGTTGAACTTTCCAAGTGCAACTCTAATTAACAAGTAAATCAATTTGATTTGATTAGCAGTCCAATGGTTTTTGTTGAACAAATGAAAATCAACTTGTGGGGAGGGGAGGAGGTTAGATTACAAACTTGTTTAGGGCAGCAAAATAACTAGCTAGGCCTGGCCGTAGCTATTTGTAAAATGTATTGAGTGAAAATACTGATAGTCTACAAACACATTTATAGTGATTTATGTTATGTAGTTACTTACTGTATGTATTGTTAATCCTTTATCACAAATGTTGAAAGCCAATCAGTATCATTGCTGATGATGTACGAATACGTATATATAAATCTATCTAATCCAGTGTAAATAAATTGGTATAACCCGTTTAAATGAAGGTAAAAATATACAATATAGAAGCTGAATTAATAAAACTATATTCGCTAAAATCACATTTATCATAATTTAATTGATAATATATATCTCATCTGTGGTTTTTATCTTCTACTGTATACATAACGTTAGATAATAATAATAAATTCATCAATATGCTGAACAATAAAAACATGTTTTAGTAGTTTATATGGATAAATTTCCTACTCTTATGCCATTTTTAGAAATCAAACACTACATGGTGTATTATATATAGGCCTTATTATTATTATTTTATTGGTATCTAATATAAACTGTTTTGTTAAATAAATAATTTATACCTAAGCAAAGCAACTGGCTCACAACACACTTTATGTAAACGTTGTCATCAAAATAATTAATGTGTTATACAGTTTAGTCGAAGTTTCGTTTCTTTGTTTTCTTCCATTTACCTTTCAAACGTTGGGAGAGAATTACCGCTTCTATAATTCTTTCTACAAGGACAGTGTGAACTTCGTCAATCGCTAATGTAGCGGTTCATAACTAATAACACGAACATGTTGTCAAGATATTTTAATGTTTTGCTTGATTTCACAAAACTTAGCATAATATATAAATGTTATTTATACTTTTTTCAAATCTTAATTCTAACTATGGGATAGATTTATCTAAAATGTTTTACCACACAATGTTTATCTACCATAAAATAAATTTTGTTTACCAAACAAGATAATTGGGAAAAAATAAGTTATAAACAAGTCGCATTAAAAATTAACAACATGATTTGTTGGAGTTAATCGGCTTTGTTTGTTTTTGAATAAATAACGTCGCTCACTTCCATATAATAAACGTTTTTGCGGCGACTCTACTTTAAGACTCTGTTTACTTGTTTTACAATTTTCTTAGACAGACGCCCTTAACCTGGAACTGATATACCAAAGGTATAGCTGCTCGTCAACAGCATCCATCCCTAAATTTTACTCTTGTCTGATCGAATACTGGGATTTCAACATCACTGTTATAGCGCGGCCATGACCCTCAAATACGGACCACGTTGTTGTAGCATTGGGCCGCGAACCTTCGGATACACAATCTGAGTATGCTCACAACTTGGCCATAACTGAATCCATATTGAGTTCATCAGAAACTTTCCTTACGTTCTGATGTTTGCAAGCTTAGCATTACTTCTAATAGACGAGATAAGGTTAAGATGTTATTATCTTTTCTAAATCAAAATGCACATTTATCCATACATATAACAGATTAAGATTTGTCAGACCATTTTAAACACAAGAGCTAACAAACGAGTTGATACTGTTTGCATGAGTAATCTTCAATTTCAATCTGAATGTTCTAAGTTGGCTGAGTTAGTAAGCTCCAAAGGTCATATTGTGTGATAAAATAACTCAAACTGTGTACTGGTAGTGTTTTCAAGCATTATTCTAGCAGGTTTATTTTGATAATCTAGCCAGAAATGTGTCAAATTAAGTTCCAACAATCCTTTGTTGTGCATAATTCATGGCAACAAAGCATTTCGTTACATTACAAAGATCACCAGAGCGTCTGGAATATGTCAACAAAGAGTTATGATTCATCACATGCGTGGAATAAAGCAATTTATACTGCCAGACAATTATCCAACATTTCAATTAACTTCCACTGTTACAAAGGAAATAAACATAGTCTGAACTTTGATCTCTTCCTCATTTCTTATAATAACTCAATCAACTGTTTTCTGTGCAGCTGATATTTAACAGTTTCACAAATCACTTTAACTTTAAGAAATAATCTTGAATCAATCTGTTCGCCATATGTTGGGGTTGTTTTGCTAGGACCGTTTCAGTTTCGTTCCTAGGACAATCATCTTGCTATGTAAGCCCTGCCCTAAGCATGCATTTAAATAAAGTAGCTTTATAATAGCTTCCTTTGATTATGACTGAAAAATATCTAAATAGTGCAAAACAATTAGACACAGAGATTCAATAAAGAATAAATTGATGCTAGATAAACCTTATGGTAATAAAAACAAACAATTACACGAAGAATGTAAAAGAAAATATCATTTGAAGATAATATATATATATTATACTTCTATTTTAGATATAATTTAAAATATCTTTTAAAAAGCACAAATATGCAATCAGTTGTTGCTTTAAAGAAAAGCTAAACAATGAGTTACCTGCGTTCTGACCCGGGGTGAATTAAACCCCGGAATGTATTGGTATAAATCACTAAGTTTCCCACTGGAACTTGGGCACTATTGAGGTGTTATTAAAGTTTTACAAAACGTTTTCATATATTCTCTCATTGATTAACTTGGTAAAAGAATCATATCATTTAAAGTATGACTTCAGTGAGTTTTCCTTAAGCCCTTGGAGTTTACCGTATGTAATTCACCTGAAGAGGACAGATCGACTTGTTAAAAGATCCAAGGTTTTAATCTTCTTTTTTCAATACGGCTTCATACGTTTAGATAATTCTTCTCGCTGGCTATAATGTATTTTATACGTATAGTGACAGTCTTTTAATCTAAATTTCAGTTTTTATTTTCTTAGTTCAATTAGAAGTCATAACACTTAAAATTTATTACAAAGTTTTCATTGACGCTAAAAATGTGACGTCACAGACATTAAACCTGAGTACGCTGGTTCCATATCTTTATAGGCCTACTGTTATAGGGGCTGAAAAGTGCAGCAAACAAACAGACACAAACTTAGCTTTATATATTAGACAAACGAACAACATCTTAGTTTTGGTCTTTGTATTTCAAGAGAAAATGAAGATATATTTTTTATGGTGATTTGTTTTGTTTGCATACTGAGATCAGAATATGTTGCTGTATGTTTTGTTTGCATACTGAGATCAGAATATGTTGCTGTATGTTTTGTTTGCATACTGAGATCAGAATATGTTGCTGTATGTTTTGTTGCATACTGAGATCAGAATATGGTGCTGTATGTTTTGTTTGCATACTGAGATCAGAATATGGTGCTGTATGTTTTGTTGCATATTGAGATTAGAATATGGTGCTGTATGTTTTGTTGCATACTGAGATCAGAATATGGTGCTGTATGTTTTGTTTGCATACTGAGATCAGAATATGGTGCTGTATGTTTTTTGTTTTTTTCACAGGTTACCATCACAACCACTTAGCAGAAAAGGTGAAGGCACTCCTTGGAGAAGACGTTGTTTTGCCATGTTCTTTCAAGTTTCCCGAAGGTGTACCCGTCCCGTATATTATCCAGTGGCACAAAAAGGGTATCAAAATTCCTATTTATATCTGGTACGCTGGATACCCTCCTCACATTGGTGAAGGCTACGGTGGCCGTGTGTCTCTCACGGGTCAGGCGTCTCTCCATCTATCCAACTTGCAAGTACACGACCAGGGAACTTATACTTGTATTGTGAACTTCTTCGACAGATCACCGGATCGAAAAAGGAATGGAAGTTTGGTTCACTTGTCCGTTCATGGTAGGTTGTTATGTGATTTACTACATGTTTTCCAACGTTTGGTTAACTTCTCCGTTCATGGTAGGTTGTTATGTGATGTACCACATGTCAAACGTTGGAAAACATGTAGTAAATCACATAACAACCTACCATTAACGGACAAGTGAACCAAACGTTACAAAACATGTGGTACATCCCATAACAACCTACCATAAACGGACAAGTGAACCAAACGTTACAAAATATGTGGTACATCATATAACAACTACCATAAACGGACAATTGAACCAAACGTTACAAAACATGTGGTACATCCCATAACAACCTACCATAAACGGACAAGTGAACCAAACGTTACAAAATATAGTGTGGTACATCATATAACAACTACCATAAACGGACAATTGAACCAAACGTTACAAAACATGTGGTACATCATATAACAACCTACCATGAACGGAGAAGTTAACCAAACGTTGGAAAACATGTAGTAAATCACATAACAACCTATCATAAACGGACAAGTTAACCAAACGTTGGAAAATTAACTTCTCCGTTCATGGTAGGTTGTTATATGATGTACCACATGTTTTGTAACGTTTGGTTCACTTGTCCGTTTATGGTAGGTTGTTGTATGATGTACTACATGTTTAGTAACGTTTGGTTCACTTGTCCGTTTATGGTAGGTTTGTATGTGATTTACTACATGTTTTTTAACGTTTGGATTACTTGTCCGTTTATGGTACGTTGTTATATGATGTACTACACGTTTTTTAGCGTTTTGTTAACTTGTTCGTTTATGGTAGGTTGTTATATGATGTACCACATGTTTTTGTAACGTTTGGTTCACTTGTTCGTTTATGGTAGGTTGTTATGGAATGTACCACATGTTTTGTTTTAGTGTTTTGTTAACTTGTTCATTAATGGTAGGTTCTTATGTGATGTGCTACATGTTTTGTTTTAGTGTTTTGTTAACTTGTTCATTAATGGTAGGTTCTTATGTGATGTGCTACATGTTTTGTAACGTTTGGTTCACTTTTCCGTTTATGGTAAGTTGTTATGTGATTTACTAAATACTGTGACGGATTTATTATTATATATTAATTTTAATATCAACGTTTGTTTAGATTAAGTTTATATTTAGAAATATGCATAGCTTATAGTGTTAAATATGTACTGCGAAGCTCCCGTCTATTCTCTAAAGTCGTAGAAGATTCTCGAGTGTAAGAATCAACAAAATATGTATATAAGTAAACGCTTAATGTAGTTTTGTATTGTTACGTAATCTGAATTTTCTAGAAACTCTCTACAAGCCTATAAATATAACCAACGCGACGCGCCAGAAACGTAGTATCTATTATTAGTTTGCTCTAGTCAGTGTGCCATAAACTTCGGAAGCTATAACCGTGATTGTTTAACGCTTATCAATCGGAAAACCTCAGATATTTGACCAGGAGCATTTACAAAGTTCGAACATTACAAATCATTTAACTTCAGTGAATTCTCATCGGACATTAGTACTTTTACGAAAACAGTATATAACTTCATTGTGGAAAACTTGACGTGTGTGGCTGGTAAATTAACGAAAGACAAAGCTAGCTAGCTCCCCGTTAAGCGAATCGTACTTACATCAACTCGTAACTAACGATAAGATATCTAAAAAGTTCCAAACTAGAAATAAGACTATATTGCTTGTAAGTTTGTAATAGTTTTGTATATAAATCATTGATGTAATAACTATTTGTAATAACTGTTATTGTAAATTGTATTGTTGTTTGTATATTAAAACATATTTGTATTAAAAAAGAAAACTGTGTGTATCAATCTTGTTGGTAAATATTATAAAATGACTATATATGGGCTTTTACTTAAATGCTAAATCCAAAGTACAATTTAACTACTAAATCTAAAGTATCATTTAACTCAATTTCAGGCTATTTGAAATTCTAATTCGGTAACAGAATCAAAACGTAGAATAGCAAAACGTACCAAAGCACTTCATAGTTTGACTCTAGGAAATCACGTTATAATTGCTCATTGTGTGTGTGTTTTCTTATAGCAAAGCCACATCGGGCTATCTGTTCTGTCCACCAAGCATTGAAAATCCAAAGACTTACCGCTGTCCCACCGGAGGACACTTGTTCATTGTGCAACACCCACATTGCTATTTATATTATGCCATTTCAGTGAAACCATTTCAATGCATTTTTCCACCCTTAAGCAAGTTTAGATGTTCTCTAGGATATTTGTGAATGTTTAACATCAGGTATTTGTAACAGCATTTTCTTAATATAATAAGTTATCGGGAATATGAAACCTAGTTCTGTTGAAAACAGCCATTGTTAGTTTTACCTTTTAGTAAATCCATACATCTTCTTTCGCTGCAACACCTCTGTCTGCATTCAGGTAATTTGCGCAGGCGATCAGTATAACCGGATGTAGAGTTTTAGCATTATATTATCACTGCCCTCGAACAAAAATTATCACCTGTTGTGCAGAGCCACAAATAAGAAGTGTTATCTTTAATTCCAGATCTGGAAATCTACAATGTAGTTATTTATGTACCAAATTGTGCCACGGGTCTCATTGTAGAGACCAAAGGTGTTCATCACGTGCTATGTACACACGGGTTTCGCAAGATTTCTAAGGTCCCGAGGTGTTGAGAAGAGATAATGACAGGTTGGACAGAAACAGAACCATTCATTTTGTCACAGCTACGCCTCCGACTCTCCCAGCAAATGACAGGCGGTTCCTCGACAATCAGTCCTGCACTCGAAGATCTGCGGCACCTTAACTGTCTTGATTGTAGAGTACACCTTTTTCTGAGTGCTTGTTATCCAAGCATACGCGAGGTGTTGAAAACAAACCAACCAAACCACTGTTAACCTATGTTTAACTTATACTGAACTGTTTTTACTTCACTTGCAATCTATAGCGATTTTCTCTTCAATTAATTCTGTAAATAACTGTTGTTATGGGATGTTTTTGTTATTTCATCTAGTTTATTTGGAAACTTTTAACCATGAAACACACATAACTTCATCTTTCGTAATATTGTTAACATCGTAATATTTCTTTTTTCATGTTCCAGGTCAGAAACATACACATGTTACAAAAATAATTTTAATACATCCCAAATTAAGGCCCACCTCAAAAATTCCAATGTAAAATTTCATGACATCTCTATTTGTACCTCGGTATTTATTGATTATGCGTATTTATTAGCAATCGTAATTTTCGGTTTACGCTCCTTGATTTTCTTTATAACTCTAAAACTGTTTATTAATAATGAAAGGGTAAAGTGGCCCATAAACAAGCACCTTTAAAATGAGAAAGTGTAGTAGCAATCATAAATTTAAAAGCACAACTAAGGAACCAAAATAATATATTATGACGATATTAAGTTTTGGCATACTTGGAGATTTAAATTTCAAATCATTTTTTGCTTGTGTCGTTTTTAAGCGCAAATCTAGAGAAGGGGCTGCCAGCGCTGCACCAACCACTGGTATCGAACTCCGATTTTTGCGTTATAAGCCATCAAGTTCACCACTGAGCCACCGGCGGGAGGGGGGGACTTATTTTTTTTTTTGCTAACGGACAAGTCTACGAAATACTTGTTTTTTATTAATGGGAAAGCAAAATTTTTACAGTTTACATCTGTAGGAAGGGAGACTGATTAATTACTTTCATCAGTAAACAAAATATTTATTGATATTTTATTTCTACTGCGAAATTAAAATAATTCTAATTTTGTCGTTTATTGGGTAAAGACAGATATGAAACTTAAGACAGTTTGAGCTTCATTAAATGAGAACAAAAACAAAGAGCGAAAGGATGCCACTGAGTATAGTTTAACCGTTTTTCAATGTTTTTATGCAAGTTACTGGAAAACGATTTCATAAGCTGAAAAACAACCAATCATAAATTAGAAAAATTGTTTTCTGTTTCGGTATTTCAGAGATGACTATGCAGATTAAATTCTTCAGGGAAATATTAACACAGCTTTTATTGAAATTGTTTTAAATTTTGTATCATAACGAGCTTATTTATATTATCTTAGAAAAAGTAAGGAGCCGGACATGCACAAGTAGTTAAGAGTTCACGGACGGACTCCGGACTGTGAATTCGAGAGTCCAAATTTCGCGACCCGTTGCCACAAAAACGTGTTCCGCCATTTCAAAACAATGTGCTCTATAAGAGCGACAGTCAGCTCCCACATTTCGGTCAGACTTGGCTAATCAAGTTAGCGGTGGGCGTTGTTGACTAGCTGCCCTCTAGTTTATGCGCAGATGATCCTTTGTTTAGTTTGGGCGAAAATTCTATAACAAACAAATAAATGAAAGATAATTTCACAGACAAAGAAACAATGTTTTTCATTTTATCGTTTACATTTTATACGACTAGCATAGCTTAACATATGCACACTGTTACACAAATTTATTAATTCTTATTTAAAAGCTGCCGAAGACAATGATATAATGTTATTTTCTAATATTTTCTGTCTCTACCAACTCATTATCAATTGTTTTTGACA